AATTTTTTCATATTTCTTATATTCCTGTACTGTGTTTTATGCATCTGTTGTGATGTAGTTCTCTTCTACTCTTACAGGTGAGCCTTTTTAGGGAACAGACTTCTCTTGCCAGAAAATTCTGACATATAAAGTTGTAAATGTTTTAATACATTTCTAAATTGGTTTTGTAGTATTTTCCCTGCCCTTTCTTTGGTGGTGATTAGCATATTTTGAATCAGTGTATATTGTGTCAGAGCTTCAGGATTCCACTTTCTCTGTAGGTTTCAAAAGATCTGGAAATTATGCTGTGTATAGCAAGGCATGTGAGGTAATATCTGGGATGTTCTTCTTAACAACTCTGTGTATTTTAAAGGGGTATGAGAGTGGTCTAGACTGAGACACTTCATGGGTGTGATATCCATTGACTTTATGTTAATTGGGATTTTTTTTTATGGGAGTGAATGTCCATGAGTTGGACCTGACACCCCCTCCTCTGCCCCAGCCATTCCTATTTAGGGCCTGATCATTAGTTTGAAGGTTTCGTCTCTCCTATTATTTGCATTTAAGTATCACTGATATTTGAACATAGCTAAATTATGTGTAAAGCAGGGTGCTCACTACACTGTCCCTTGGTTGGGTTTAGCTCAGCAGCAGTATATCTACCCTATGAACTTGTAGTTTACCAGCAGATTCCCAGTACCTCACAAAGGCAGAAATAAATAATAGCAACCACAAAAGCAAACAATATATAATATTAAAGTACGTATCGAGTGTGCACTATGACATCTGTAATATTCACTACTACAAAAACAAGAATGTTGGGGTCAGCAACTGACAATAGCAAAAATAACTGGTAGCCATGAATGAGGTCTGGCATTAAATTTAGTGTTAAGTGTCAACTATGCCATCTGTAGTACTTACATAAGGAACAACCTAAATGGTGGGGGAAGGAGACATATAAGCCAAATAGTTCTGAAAGATGGTAAAAAATCAATTCATTTAAGAGAAAAAAAATTGATAGGGAGGAAAATAAAATTTTAGAATATTCAAACTATAAATAGAGAAAAAGCAAAAGAGATGTAGCAAGGGATGGCTATATAGAAGGAGGAGAAAAAAATAAACAAAGTAGGTAAAGAAAAAGAGAAAGAGAACAAGAGAATTTGACTATAAAGGCAGAATATAGGAGAGAAAAGGAAATAAATGAAAACAAAACCCAAAATAAACAACTACAACAACAAAAAAAATTCCTAACCATCAAAAGGCAAGACAAAGAAAAATAACAATAGTAAAAAATGTTTAAAATGAAAAAAAAGAAAGAAAAGTGTATATGTGTACATCCATGAATCAACAAGCACAGCAAGAACACCAAAACAAAGAGGAAAAAAATATTTTTAATGAATTCTTAATGAAAAATGAAATAATCTCCTCCACCTCGGGTGAAAACCATTAAGGAAGATGGATGTTTGCACTCTAAGCTCGACTGTCCTTCTCTCTTTCTTCTTGGGCTATGTACCTCTTAGAGAAAGCAAGAGTTAGGATTTTTTTAAAAATTCTCCTGCTTTTTGAGTTACTCACCAAGCTGTCAGCCAATTTGTGTGTAAAGCAGGGATTTAGGCCAGCTGGGATGGCCTAAAACTGAAACTGGATG